TGGAGATGAACTCAGGCTGAGGGACCAGCGGCAAGCAGAGTGCAGTGGAAGCCACGTAGGCCTGAGTTTTGAATTCCAGCTGCCAGACCTTCACCAATGACCCTCATCCGTGACATATGCTTCGGAATCCCTCCACGGGCGGTTTGGAGGAGTAAATGAAGTGTTCACAATGCCCAGCATGGTCCTGAGGACGGCTAGGTCCTCAACAAATGTTATTACAGCCAGGCAGAGACACGGGCAAGTGCAGAAGTACAGACACCGGTTGCAGTGTTACCTGGCGGTGCCCACAGTAAGCAATTCCAAAGCCCTCAATGACCTCAGTTCCTTGCCATCTAAAATGTGAAGCAGCACGCGCTGTTTTTCACCATGGCTGTTCCTCAGCTCAACTCTACCTCAGGCCACCACTCAGCAGTTCTGGGCCTCACACGGGGCTGGGACTTGCCACCTCAGCAGCATTCTGTCAGCTGCCCCTTCCATCATTAGCAAAAAGAAGGGCAAGTCGCATGAATTAGAGTAATAAAAAACCTCACTCTGCAGTACACCAGGTACCAGGGTCCCAGCCAGGGGGGACCAGGATGCCTCTCTGCATTTTGCTTTGGGCCAAATCCTCACTAGCTCTCAGTATATTTTATCAAGTTTTAAAGAGTCTATCCCAGTTAGTAAGCTTTTCTTTCTGGCACTGGAGCTCCCAGAACTAACAGTGGGGATGATGGGCCCAATGGCATGAGAATTCCACTTGGCTGTGCTTTCTCAAAGTGGGTGAGGTTCTTGTTAGGATTCCTTCTGGCCCATTAGTCCATCTTGGAGCGGAGAAATTATGGGGAGGAAGCATGTCTTGCTGGTGTGAGACCAAATCCTGGGAGTTTCTGTTCCTGTGCCAAGAGGCAGCCCTCAGACCAGGCAGGAGCTTACAGCCAGGTTTACTGTGTAAGCAACTCAAGAAAAGGGGCAGCTTAGAGAACTGAGGAACAAACAAGAACCACAGGCATTAAAAAGCTTAACATTATGCATTTATTATATTTTATAGAGCCATGTTACACATGCTTGGTGCTTTAAACTGAGTTATCGTTAAATGTTTTTCTGGATGCAAAGCCATCTGATGCTTGATGCGGATGCCTTAAATACTATAATATTTCTGCATCTATGACCTATGAGCTAAGGAAAAACCAAGGACAATTCCAGAAATGGCAAAGAACATTTAAGAAAAAGATGTACATGAGACGCAATGCTAAGTCCTTGAGCCAGGGCCTACAGAAGTTACCAGAAAGTGAATAAAAACAGAACTGTTCTATGAAAATGGTTTGACCAATCACTGTCTGTAGATAAGAGAGCCTCATAACGGTTATGGGTGTTGTAGACAAAGGTTCTCCTGTTTGGTAGTGATGCCCTTCCCCTCCATAATGTCTGCAGACATCGTGCAGCCCCAGACAGAGCAGCAAACAGAATACGACACAGCAACTGGCCCCACTCCCTGCGGCACCCCAGTGCTGTTTCTTATGGCGTCTGAGTGTCTTTAATGAAAAGAAGTCAATTTGATTAAACTTGCCACTTTGTGGAAAATCAATCATTGTGCTTTAGACAAATGCTTTAGATCCCACACTCACCCTCTGCAGACTCCCAGAAGGCTGGCCAAAAAAGTGGAGACCAGGGTCACCAGCCTCCGGGAAGTTTGATTTGCCTGCTGACCCAACACCAATGTGTAACCGTCCCTTCCAGTTTTTATAAGGAGAGTGGATGAAGCATGTCAACAGGGTGCCCCCTGCCTCTCCCATCAAGTCTCCATCCTGTCCCAGCTGAAACACCCTCCCCAGCACTGTGCTGACCACCAGCGCCTGGAGAGGATGCTGGGAAGCCTTTCAGCCACAAAGACACCCGCCTGTGGAGGGGCCTGCCCTCTCCTGCCTGAGGCTGCTGCTCTAAGGGCCTCACTTACACCATCTTCAGGGAACCAGGAAACCTGAGCACCATCTGAGCAGTGACAATCAAGGTCAATCAAGATCAGTAAGTCAGGGGGCAAGAGACCTAGCCAGCCATCCAGTCACGTGCTTCTGCACAGGGAGGGATCCTGAAGGCATGGAGGACCTTCTGTAAAGCCAAAGAGCAGGCTATGGAGTGCGTGACCGCAGCTGCAAGGAAGCAGAGCTCAGAGTCCTGGCTCCCTCCTCTTCCTCCTGGGTTATGAGTGTGGCTGGAACGCACCTGCCGGGACCTCCTGGGCCCAGACTCGGACAAGGTGCTCACTTGCACTAACGCCAATGGGAGCCGGGACAAAGGGCTACCAAGTCAGACAAGTGCCCCTAAGGCCAGGGGTCCGAGGCCACACAGCGACAGGCAGGAAGGAAGCCTCGAGGCACGGTGAGGGCTTTAAGTGGACGCCTGCGAGCAGCTTCAGCTCTCGCCATTGTTCTGAGCTCTGGGATCCTTGCTCTCGCTGTGGTCAGATGTCAAGAAAACAGAAGGAACTTAAGGAATTAAAGATTAATAACATGGCCTTCCTAAGCCACGCTGATCCCAAATCACAGGAGTCAGACACAAGTGATCCATGCTCTCCACCTACAGCGGGGGTGGGTCATCAGCTTCCCAACTCCCACACTACATTGTAGGGGCCAGGATTCCATGCCGTGGACAGAAATTCCGCGGTAAGGTACCATAGGTACGTTTTGCTAAGCAGAGTGGCGGCAGCAATAAGCCCACTGAAAGCACTCCAACTGCTACTCAGGCAGATCCGCGTGTCTCTCTAGGCTTCTTGCTGAATGAAGTGACTCTCTATTTGTGAAGAAATGAACTAGAACTCTGCTTGGAAACACTGCCAGGCATTGAGCATACTATTCTGTCAAAGGGTCTTACTTTACTCAAACTTAGCAAAACAAGTGACATTTAAAAGAACTTGTACATGAAAACCAAATAGGAAAAAAAAAATCTTGATTTTCCTCAAATCCTCAGGCCTTGAATCTAGGCATAGCACACAAACACCATATGAAACCAACAGTGCGAGTTCAATGTCACCTTGGAAAATAAATGTCACTCTGGGGTGACAGTTCTTTATACAAATATTATGCTTCCCCCTAAACCCCACTACCAAAATGGGGGAAAATAATAAGAAATCCAAAAATAGAAAACAACATCTTGTTAAATGTAAACTTATCCTCTGAAGTTTTTATATTACATATGCTAGAAACATGCATTTATTTCAGTTCAGATGTAAGAAAATATGTCTATCAGTATTACTTATAAATCAGATTAATTCTCAAGACAACTGACTCACTGTTAGAACACCATTTCAAATTTTAGTAAATTACATCTTTAGCAAAATTATAAATTCTAACCACAAGCAAAAAGGGTTTAAGTTATACCCAATGAGAACTACCTCTACTCTAAATGGTCGCTCATTTATTAGTTTCCTACACTGTCACTGCAAATTGAGAGTGCTACATCAACAAGGAACTTGGACATTTTTTCTTCAACCCCCAATTAAATTCCTTTCAGAAAATAACTCTGCAGATTGAGAGAAGACACGTGAACAGAGAGAGTCAAGGGGAGTGATGACTATTCCACTCAGAGACATAAAGGGATGGAAGAGATGACCAAAGGCATCCCCCAAGGGATCAAGGCACAGAGGAAGAGGGACCTCCCTCCACACAGGAGCCTGGCTTCTGAAGGTCACGGCGTGGTTCTCAGGGCTGCCAGTGAGACTTTCCCATCACACGAGGCTACCCTGCCGTGGGCCCTCAGGCAGGAGTCCTGAGGACAGCGCCGGGACCAGGCTCCAGTGCGGCGCAATGATGGGGCAAGGGTGATACAGTCCCGACTCCTAACACAGTCACCCGACTGGAGCAGCACTTCTGTATGGCCACTCTGAGACTGCTCACCTGAGAGCGGAGAGGGAAGGTGTGGGCGCTTATATATACCACGGGCACCAATGGAGGCCTCTGCCCCAGGTCTAATCAAAGAGCCACACGTTCGCACTGGGGTACTCAGCTCCGAAGGGGACCTCCATCACAGGCTTACCTCTCTCCTGACTGCCAGATACAGCAAAGCCTGGCTTATCCAGAGAACAGCTGGGGTCTTCTGATTAACTCAGTTCCATCAAACTACTCAATGCATAACAGATTCTGAACAAATAAAAAAAGTGTCTCAAGTTAAATTTTTCATTTATGATTCAGAAGGCACTTCAAAATTCCGGAGAGCCACAGGGTCACTGTTATTAGGTCACTAATCCTCCTGTACAGGACCGATGGAGAAGCTGTAAGAGATAGGGCTACATTTTTGACCTGACGGTGTCCTGGACATCTTATAAATAAATCTCTGATATTAGCTAGTTTGTCAATTACCTTGCAGAGTCAAGCATACAGCACAAAGACACACGGTTTGTATTTTGAATAAATGGGATTTTGCTGTATCATGGCAGTTTATAAAATATGCTCATGAGTCTGATATTCCGACTCTAAGTAAAATTATTCAAAAATTATAATCATACATTTAAGAGGTCACAATGTGAGAGGTAAAGTACTCATTGAGTACAGTTTTCTTAATAATCTAATCACCTTGCCAATCTGCACTCAGTATCTGTTTAGAAGCATGAAATTAAGCTACTGGCGCTCAATCGCTACGTGTTAGCATTTAAAGACTCCACTAGACAAAGGAACCAAGGCTCTCAAACCAATCGGCCGATACCCATAAACGCTTCCTGTTCAACAAGCCCTGACAGCAGCCTGAGCAACGGACACGCCTGGTCTTCCCTGGGCTTGCGCCTCTGCCGGTTCCCGCCTTACCTTGAGAGCACACGCAGGCAGGGCACAACTGCTTCAGTCACGCGTCTGCTGGGGGAGCTAAAATCAAAATCCTCTCACCAATGGGCCCGGCGTGGGGCACTCTGAGGTAGTTCCTTAACTCGGGGTGCCTGTCACCTACTCTCTCTCTCTCAGAATTCAGTACACGTAGAAAGTATTAAAATATCCATGCATCGCTTTAATCACAAGTCACTGTAATTGAGTGCAAAATAAAGGAAACTTGAGTAGCTTTATTTAGCTTCCAATTTCTGGGAGGCTCAAGAATTATAATTATTCTGGACAACAAAAGGAAATAAGACTGTGCTTACAGATCTTTTCTGCCATCTTCTTTCTGTAGGATTGCTATTTTATTGTCGCCCTTTCTGTTACATGGGATGTACACATCAGGTGTTAAAAGGTACAATACATTCTACAACTGAGCACCACTTTCTGTAACTGAACAGGCAAAGAAATTACACTGAACATCAGCATCTGGCAGTATTTTTCGGAAAAAAAAAGTGACTAAAATGGGTTTAAATTGATTAACACTATTAAATCACATCTAATATTTGATACTACATGATTCAATACAGCTATACGATACAATTATACAAAATGTGTTAACATCAAAGAATACAACCAAAATTAAGATAGCAAACAAAACCTATATAACTTTTTTTTTACAGGAAAAATACTTTTGAAGTATGCATGTAACTGCCCATTCTTTTAAAGAAAATCTACTGCAAGCAAAGTTATCAACCTCCAGAAAAATCACACATAGCATTACTAAGCATATCCCCAAAAAGTGTACAATATGCACACTTGGAAAATACAAAATTAAAAAAATTGTAAGCAACAGGTGAGCTTCATATTTATAAGAATGTGAAAAGAAGTCCCGTTTTTAGCACTGTTGTATAAAGAATTGTCTTTTGATGAGAAGTTCATGAATTGTCCTCCTGTTGGGACCACACTTTACAAAAACACCGTGTTTTTGAAACGAGATTACAGAGCAAGATAGAGCATCTCAGCAATGTCATCTTATTAAAGTTTTTTTTAAATTTTTACTACTTTATCAAAACATGTCCCTTAGGTGTGCAGGATTCATTTTTAAAATTCTTTCCTAGAAACAATATACAAAGGAGAGGCATATTTATTCCCAATCACACTCCTGGAAGATGCTTCCCGAGGTCGAGAAGGGTCTTCTCTTCTTCTCACTGGTTGTTTTTGGCCTTAGCATGTGTTAAGATGTGAGATTTCAGGTTAGTCGACTGAGCAAACTTCTTATTACAACCATCGAAGGGGCACACATAGGGCCTGTCTCCGGTATGAATTCGCACATGTGTGCGCAAATTGAAGTCCAGTGAGAAGCGCTTCCCGCAGCCTTCGAACGTGCACTGTCGAGGAGAGACCAGAGACAACCCACTCAGCGACTCTGACCAGGCCCAGGAGAGGGAGCAGCCCACTGCTATGGCGGAGAGCAGCCTGCTTCCTTGACCGAACACTTTGCCTCCTGGCCCCGGGGACATTTTCTAGATATAGTCTACAGTTAGCGGGAAGGAGCTCTAAATGCATGTTGGACAACTCCTAAAACCCAAGGACAGCCCTCGTGAGCTGTTCAAATACAACATAAGAGAAACACTTGGCAAAACAGCAAGAATTCTTCTAACGTGTTAAGGTCCTGTACTCGTGTAAATATTTCAAATAATAAAATACAAATGATTAGGGAGGTTTCTGGTGTCAAGTATCAAAAAGAACCATGTTACATTTACTAGCTGCATTGCTAGTTGGTTCACTTGTTTATGGGCTTCTAAAAACAGACAAAATATTAACTATACTTACTCTCGTACAATAAAATTTTAGAAGTTCTCTGTCAATTAGTAATTCAATATACTATTAACTACAAAAAATAAACTGCTTCAGCCCCATAGTGAATGCACTACAAATTTAGTTTTAGGTTGCTCTCGAGCAGCCCTATTTTTCTCCGACAACACCCTGACCCACCCCATCTCCAGTACCACAGGGGTTACACACAGGGGGTCAGGGCTTGGGCAGCTCTCCCAAATGACTCATCAGGACACCAATTTCATTCCTCACTAGGGGAGCTAAGACCCTGACTCTCTGGGCTGGCCAGCATCTCTCTAGCATCGTCGCCACCCTGCCCACACCTGCAGGGTACTGTGGAGGGGAGAAGGGAGTGGCTCTACCTGAAAGGGCTTCTCTCCAGTATGAACCAGTTGGTGTCGTTTTAGTTTTGAGCTCTCAACAAAAGCTTTGCCACATTCTGCACAGACGTGGACTCTGGGACCGTGGGTGTGCAGATGTTTTCTCATGGCAGAGTTATCCCTGAACATCTTTGTGCAGCCCTTCGAACAGAGAGAGAAGCTTAGTGGTTCACACTGCAAACTGTTACAAAGGATTCAACCACTTAACAGCCTTCACTGACACATTAAAACCAAACTCCCCCACCCCCCTATTTTAATTTTACTTAGTATTACAGTAGAAATATTAAGACAAAAAACAGACAGCTGACAAGGCCTTATCATTTAATGCAAACCCTTGTTTTACAGATGAGGAAACTGAGGCTTAGAGATGTCTTAAGTAGACTTGCCCAAGGTCACACTACTAGTAGCAGCCGAGCTGGGAGTAGAACCCAACACCCTGGCTTCCAGCTACACCACAGCTGCCTCACCCCACTATGTCCCCCAAATGAAATAACAGAAGCACTGATAAATAAATGGAGTTAAAATGACGGCAGTCCACCACTACCTTTGGTGGGCCCCATATTCTGTGCTGCAAGAATGGGCTGTCATTCTCCATCGCCTACTGTTCCCTCTTCTCTCTTTGCCTCTTTCCCCTTCTTGACAGAGAAAGAAGCAAGAGGGCCTCCAAGGAATGGCAACTACAGAAGAAATTTATTTTGTGAGACACTAGGAAAAGAAGCAGGCAAACTGATACCAGAGCAGGGTGGGGAGGCAGATGGGTATGTGGTGCTTGAGAGAAGCATGTCCTTCACAATTTCTTCTGCAGTTGTTGCCCAGTGATGGAGTGAATGGGGGAAATGGTCAGACAGCATGAAAGAAGGACAGCACAGGCCAACCACTGGACAGCTTCACAGGCAAAAGGGAGGGAAAAGCCACAGTTTTTTCACCTTGACCCCTAGGTTGAGTTTCCATTTAGAAAACGGAATTTTAAAAAAATGTAATTGGAAAAGAAGTACACAGAACAGCTAGAGAGATGGCAGGCACTAAAGGCATAACTGTTTTCAAATGTTTATTTATTTTTTGGCCCCAAATCATTTTATATTTCAAAATCTCCACATTAAGAGCATTAAATAAAAGAACACAAAGAACTTATGAGAGCACAGTCATTAGAGGTGAGACCGTGAAACTAAATTTATCCTTCTCCAATTGTTGATTTTTAAAAATTCTTTACACCATTAAAAATGTCTCCCCCTTGGTTTTTCTGCACCTAAGTGATATATATTTTTGTTAGTTTTACACCCAATTAAGTTTGAAACAGACCCAACCAACACCTCAAACTACTTTTTAGGCTATCCCTTTATTTTAAAGCCTAATCACATTTGAAAACAATTAAGTACCCCCCGTACCACACAAAATTAACAGGGTAAATTAAGAAAATTGTGACGGAAATAATGACGCCTTACTAGGCTTACTTTAGCAACATCCAAAATAATATCCAAATTTTCATAATGAACCTACGGTCTCAAAAGGGTCTATGGGTGAGACACAACCCAATGTCTTAAGACTGACTTGTTGATAATCCAAAAAGAAATAAAATCCTAACATAGTATGTTCAACATACAGTAATAATAAAAACATTGGTGCCCTACAGTAACCCCTTTTAATAGTATTTAAATTTAAGTGGCCTTTACTGAACAACAAAACTTACATCACAAAATATAGTCTCTTGAATTTAGAAACCAAAAATTATAGTTCCTCACTTAATCTCAATTATGAAGATGGAAATAAAAGTGTACATATCTTATACGCTCTCTAAAACTTCAGTAACACTTTAATGAACACTTTTCCCCTAGCATTACTTACTTTATGAGGGCAAGCTATTGTTCTTGGAGCATCATCTTCTTTAATTTTTCTTGGCTTCATTCTTACCAAAAAAAAAAAAAGAAAAAGAGAGAGAGAGAGATTTGTAGGAGTGGGTAGACTCAACTGGCATAAATTATATAGTTCCTAAAATGTTTTCCTTATAGGTACAAAAACTAAGATTACAATATGCTTCCACGAAGGGGAGAGGAGGAGACGGCTCACAGTCACAGAACACCTGTGACTGCGAAGTACTCGTCCCATTCTACAGAAAAGGACGCTGATGCTCAGAGACTGTTACTGCCTGTGGTCTCAAAGCTGATGAGCTGGTGCAGTGTGGAATGGCACCATGATCTCTGTGATTCAAATATCTGCTCTTTCCTCCAAACTCTTTAAAAATAAAAAGATCAACCTCCCAGAAAACCACAGAGGAATCTCCTAGTGGGAGCAAAGCAATGTATCCCAAGGCAGCTGCTGTGGTAATAAAGGTACCTTATAAAAAGGGAGCAAAGGACATGCGAGGGTCTTAAAAATATATATCCCTATACAACTGCTTTAAAAAAAGGGGGTCAGCTCGGTGGCGTAGTGACTGAGTTTGTGTGCTCGGCTTCAGCAGCCTGGGGTTCATGGGTCTGGATCCCGGGTGTGGACCTACGCACCGCTCATCAAGCCATGCTGTGGTGGCATTCCACACACAAAATAGAGGAAGAGGGGCAACAGATGTTAGCTCAGGGCTAATCCCACCCCCCACCCCAAAAGGCAGGGTGTGTGTGTGTGTGTGTGTGTGTGTCCATTTCATACTGACAGAAATGACTGTTACTAGAGATCATTTTTAAAAAAGGGTACAGGGGCCAGCCTGGTGGCAAAAGCAGTTAAGGGCACGCGCTCCGCTTCGGCTGCCTGGGGTTCGTTGGTTCGGATCCGGGCGTGCACCAACGCACTGCTTGGCAAGCCATACTGTGGCAGCGTCCCATATAAAGTGGAGGAAGATGGGCACGGATGTTAGCCCAGGGCCAGTCTTCCTCAGCAAAAAAAAGAGGAGGATTGGCAGATGTTAACACAGGGCTGATCTTCCTCACCAAAAAAAAAAAAGGGGGGGGTACAGAATTGTCCTTTTAAACAGAGAACTATTTATATACATGTAATATCTCTAGAAGGAAAGATAACAAGCTGTCGGGACTGGTTACTTTAGGGAGGAGCCCTGGGGACTGATAGACAGGTGAGAACACTCCATATACTCTCATACTGTTTACGTCTCATCATACTATTATTTTTGGTGGTGGGGGTAGCAGGGAGATTACAATTTTCCAAAAAACAAGAGCATTTCTTTTACGGGACAGACTTCTGGACCTGCTTCAGGACCGGCTATAACAAGAGTCCCGGTTACATGGGCAGGCAGGGAGTGCCCTGTGTGGAATCACCACCCAGAGAGCTTGGTGATTTCATCTGGTAATTTACCTACCTGCCATTTCCACTGAACCAACCTTTGGTCTTTTGTCAAAACTTTCTTCCCAAATACTTCCTACATAGCTGTGTGTGGTAGAGGGGTGAGAAATTAAGAGCTCCTAGAAAACCTAGGAAAACAGATTTCCATCTCGGAAACCGATGTTCTTCTCGTCCCTAGTTTTGCCATCTCACACTCCTACAGGAGGATGATATTTAACAAACAATTGCGTCAATGATTTCTTAACAATCAGAGCTAATTTACCACCACTTTTTCATTTCAAAAGATTTCTGCTGTCATCTTGAAGTCAGCAAAGGCCCTAGCAATATCCTTCTTCACCCCTGATCTGGGAAAAGGATGACCTGATGCTTCCTACTTTATAAAACCTGAACTCATGAAATCATATAGTTAAACTTTCCATGGCCTGGAGGAGCACAGGTGAGACAATTTCTTTGGTAGCTATAACTTATCTCTACGGAGTTTGTTGAAGACTGCCAATTCCCTATTTAAAATTCTGTAAGGACATTTTCAGCCTGGTATCCTCTTCCATTCCGACCCCGTGGATACTCCTTCTTTCTTAGACTTGGAGGATCACCACATCAGTTAGCATATATTTTCTAAGTGCCTGTTGTGGCCAGGGCTCTGAACTAGTGTTTATTACCTTATATACCATTAAATCCTGAAGTTTGGGTCTGAGTTCACAAAACCAGGTAGGACAAAAATGCGGTGCCATTACACCACCTAGAGGTTATATCAGAGTTTGCAAAACAATGATTCATATGAAAGGATTCTACTCCAACTAAATATAATAAGAGTGTATTAAGAACCAAGCTCCAATCTTCCCAATTACAAAAGTTTACCCTTTGATGATTTCACTGAAATGCTCTATGTCTTGACTCTGGAGATGGCTACATGATTGTGTTTGTCCAAATTCATAGAATGATACTCACCTAAAAGAGGGTAAATTTTACTGTATGCAAATTATCGCAATAAACCAATTTTTTAAAAATGTCCACTGGGATGACAAATATGCCCCACAGTCTTTTCCCTGTCCCACCCATCTTGGGGTTAAAATATGGGGTCCATTCCAGTGGGACAGGTGTGGTCCAGTTACCCAGGAGGTCCCCCCCATACATTTTCTTAGATTTATTCCTAGGAACTTAATTTTTTTTTTTAATTTTATCATGGAAATTTTCAAATACACACAAAAGTTCCATGTACCATTTACCAAGCTCTTGATTTTTTAAATGTTATTAAGTGCTATTTTTTTCTTAAAATGTCATTTCCAAATGTGTGCTAGTATTTAGCAATATAATTAATTTGAGAATGAGAGTTTAAAATGCACTTGGACAAACACCCTTGGACTCAAGGAGGAAGTGGAAGGCATTTAATTGCAGCCACTCAAGCTCCTTGGCAAATCATCTGTCTTCACTACAGAGGGCAAATGAGGCAGCATATGTTGTACCTTTTACATTTTATTCAAATGCGAACATTGAAAAGCTTATTTTCCAAAAAAGTATACTTAGATAGAAAGTGTTTTGCTTTGTGAATAGAAACTAAAATTAAAATCTTCATGGCACCAATTGATATACAACCTACAAAAAAAAATATATATATATATTTGAAATCCTAAAAAAAATAATAATTTTTAAAAAGACTAAAATCATACACTACTACCTAGAATATCTTCTTAGCCCACCCAAACTAGTCATAAGTAACCAAGATTTGAGATTTTCAGTGACTGTGATACTTTACAAAGATCTTTCAAACCGGAGACAACAACGACAATGCATAGGCATTACGAATGAGACGGAATGGGATGTGTGACTTGATGCTGACTTCTACTAGCTGCATGACCTTGAGCAAATTACTTTAACTTCTCAGCCTCAGTTTCTTATTCTGTAAAAAGGTATAATGCTACCTACTTTAGAGCTGTGAAGATTAAAAAACATGATGTACATTAAGCTCTTGGGAAATGATAGCTATTATTATCATCAACTATGTGTTAAGTGGGCCTAGCTAAAAATGAGTTCATTCCTAGATAAATGCCAGTTGTACTTAACAACCCAGAAGGTTCTGATGCTCCAAACCGCCCTTTTCAACTAAAGGACTGAGAGACTGGAGAAAGAACCACACAGGTAAAGTAGAAAGGCCCTCTCAATGTATTAGAAATTCTATGGAGGAGCCAGGTACCAACAAGAGAAGTTTCCTGTTCAATTAAAAATGGAGAATATGCTCCCTATGACATGACTGCTGGTTTTATACTATCTCATTCTGTATATGTAGAAGGCACAACACTATAAAGTTTAGACTCCAGGACCAAAAACTGCAGGAATTTCCTGGCACAACTTTCAGGAAGGCATTGTGTAAACCAAAAGTTGCGACTAAGTTAAATTCACAAATGTCCCAGAAGGCGAGATGAAACATTTTTGAAGCAGTAATCCTTGAACGAAAATAAGCCTCTTCCTTGCAAGACAAGCTTAGTTGACTTCAGACTGGAACCACCAATTCTGACCTGTGCTGGTGGCCCGAGTTCTGTTGTAGCATGGCTACCATCTGCAAGTATAATTTACCTTCCCTCTTTGCAAAGAATAATGCTGCTGTAGACAAATGAGACCAAGTTTCTTGAATGAATTATCTCTTAAGTAGACAGTGTCTATTCACGTGATGATACTGAAGAGTTTTAAGGTAATTTCTGCTCCACTACCACATTTCATCTTTACATGAATCCCATGAAAAAGTCTCAGGGTGGGTAGTGAACCACCACAAGACATAACCAACTTGGGACTAACCTAACCACTCTTCATTCTGATCTTTCTAGACCAAAGCTTTCCAAAGGGCTAACTTTAGTTAATGAAAAACACAAAAGGTTATCAATTTAATCAGCAAAGAGAATTTGCCAGGTCCCACCCACAGACCACTTTTTGAAGTATTTGCTTAAAAAAAATTTCAAGAAAGAACAAAGTCACCCATAGTCCCACCTCCCCAATACCATGACTTTCAAATCAAAGTGGTTGCTTACACTTGCCCACACACATATGTAACTGATTTACTCAGCAGTCCAGGCTCAGTGCAGCAGGAACTTGAAACACTCTGGTCAGTTTCAAGTCCAGTCCAGAACCCCATCACCCCAGGATACGAAGAGAGGGAAAGCAGCTAACACACCACCTTAAGCCAACAGCTCAGTCAGAGTGGAGGCAGACAAAAAGCGGTGGCCAGCAGAACAAGTTCTGTGGATCTTTCTAAGCAAAGAAGATGGGGTCTGGCCCCCAAGTTTGAAAGTTGGTGCCTCTTTGTCTTCAGCTTTCAGAGTCCCCGTCACCAATTCTGGGGCCTCTGGAAAACCCTATTCAGCTGTTACGCACATTCTCAAAATGTGAAGATCTGATAAAACAGGGCATTCCAGGCTCAAATATTTCTCACCACCACTGTCCAATTAAAGAGATTTGTGCAGTTTTACAGGATCTCAAGAGATACTATGGAAAATGAGGATGAGAATGAGCCCAACCCTCAATCCACCTCACAATGCCCAAACCCTATACCTTTCCTTTGTACACATTGTCAAGATAAGCAAGATATCATTCTATTCTGTATACAGAATGAAATCTTTAACAGGTTGATTATAAAAGAAAATAAACACACTATATTCAGATGATTATGTAAATATTGCTTACTGTACAATTTAACTGTGTGCTAGGACCACATCTCTTGCTCTACAAGCCCAATAAAGTAGCTTCTATACCAAGGAGAGAATTTTCCTAGACTCAAGTCAAATGAGTTTTCTCTCTTTAAATATTGTCAAAATTATGCCCCATTTTTAGGCCACGGCTTTCTTAGCCCTCCACTCTCCTCTTCAGAGAGTTTCTGATTATCTTTTCTTTTTTAAAGCACTCTTTCCCACAACACCAAGATCTTCTACCTTCTTAACTCATTCTATCCACTACTGAATGAAATAAACTTTTCTTGAAGAAATTCTTACAACCCACTGACTTCCTATTCTAAATTGAACATGTTCTCCAGCTTGCTGCACACCTGTCGTCTTGGTTTTCTTTTTACTGCATTCTTCAGGAAGTCTTCCTTTTGATGTTCATCCTCATTTTACTGGAATACATCCTCAAGTAACCTCCTCAGAAAGAGTGCATGCAACATAAAATGAATCCTAAGGCATCTAAAATTGTCATTATTTTGCCCTTGTACTTGACCGATAGCTTTGCTGGAAAAAGAATTCTATCTTTATAATAATTTTTCCTCAGGAATCTCAAAATATTGCTCCATTGTCTCCTAATTATCCACTGCTGTTGAAGAAAAGTGTTCAGGTCTAACTCTCCTTCTTTTGTATGTAACCTATCTTTTCTCTCTGGAAGCTTTTATCCTTAGTGTTCTGAAATTCCACAATGGACAGACATCTGGTCCCTGGGTCCCAGGGTAGTCCCCCTTCCTTAGCAGTAAGGTCTAAGGCAGCCCTGAGGCAGAGGCAAGGCCACTTGAGAAACAAGCAGAGGCTTCTACTCCACAGCAGCAACAAACGCCTCCTGAGCTTAAGGCTGAAACACCCCGGATTTTCTGTTCAGAGGACTGGGGACAAGCTTTCAGATCAGATGCCCGAATTCTCCACGAGGGTGAACAAAGCCAAGGGTCACCGACACCCCATTACTTCTATGCTCACTACCCACAGGTTCCCTCTCTCTGCAAAAGCCTGCCTCAGCCCTCTGCACCCCCACTGAAATTACTTCCCAATATATCATCTAGAGAAATGCTATTCCTCCCTCTCTTGGCCCTTCTGGAAAGCCTACTGGCTTTTGTGATGCTGTACTTTCCTGAGTCTCCTTCCACCTGTCTGAATGATCCTTCTGCTCTGTCACTGGTTCCTCTTAACCTCTGAATACAAGGCTTTTCCAAGACTTTATGCTGCTGTCTTTTCCCTCCAAAACCTCCCCCCTCAAAGAGCTTCCTTCTGTGACACTTTGACGCTTTTAGCCACTCCTCATCAGATGACTCTAACCCTAACCTACTTCCTGAAGCCATCTCAAGTCCAATATGGATGTTTCATTAGCATCTGAAACCAAACACTGCCCTCCCTGAACCCCAAACCAGCACCTTCTCCCAATTTCCTGTCACCTAAGGAGCTAAGCTTTTAATGTGCATTTTGATTCTTCCTCTTTTGTCCCCTTCCCTCCAGACATTCAGCCAATCTGCTACCCAATCTCTGTCACTGTCTTCTGTCACCTCTATCACATTTACTCTTCTAGTCTGACCACCACAATTCTGGCTCAGACTTTCATGAGTTTCTGTCTAACTGACCTCCCCCTTCCTGTTTATACCTGCACCGATCCAGCCTAGATACAGCTAAAAAGTAATTCTCTCAAACGAAGTTTCTGATCATACAGCCCCCTTCTCTACTGTTCAAAAAGCTTTAGCAGCAGTGCACTGCATACTAAAAAAGTCCACATATCTTGAGCCAGGATTCATGGACCTTAATGATCTGGTTTAAATTTACCTAAACTCCAATCATTTCCCTCTAAGCACCCTAATTCTCAGCCACGCTGGACTGCTTCCTGTTTTCTGAATATATATGGATATTGAAAGTGTCTACCATGCTCATACCATTTTAGCATGTGCGCCCCAACCATGGAAACCCCACATCTATGAAAACTCGACGTTCTTCAGGGCCAGTCAAACGCCACCCCCTACACAAAGCTTTCCTTGGCTTCTGTGTTCCCAAGCTCTATCCCTGGTACAGCAGCCTATGTCCCCACTCAATTCTGAGCACAATAAAGAAGAGGTGACTAACTTTAAGAACACATGACAATACTAAACACTCGCATGATATGTGGCTCAATATGTCCAAAAACTCCAACCTTACTGCTGACTGTGTATCCTACAGATTCCATTTTTTTTTGTACTTTTCTTGGTAGGGAGGGGAGGAAGGGCAGTTAATATTAGATTCATATACCTGTATTTAAAATATGAATAGCAATAAAAGCTGGAATGCAATGTCACTAACAAAAGGATAGAGCCTTACCTTGTTTTGTGAAGCCATGATAAATCAGAAATCAATTAACATGTATATTTCCTATAACTATAGTTTCACTGGAGAGGAGAAAAGGGTACAAACCCCTTTATTGAAATGTAATGGGAGTGGCTGGCCCTGTGGCATAGTAGTTAAGTTCAGCACATTCCACTTCAGTAGCCCGGGGTTCAAAGATTCGGATCCCGGGCAGGGACCTACACCACTCATCAGCCATGCTGTGGCGGCGACCCACGTACAAAATAGAGGAAGACTGGCACAGATGTTAGCTCAGGGTAAATCTTTCTCAATGACAACAAAAAAAAAACCCAACAAAACCACAATGGGATTCTTACACTCATTTGACACATGGGGAAACTGAGGCTCCAAATGCAGGAGGTCGTCCACCTTGTTTCTGGAAGGGCTGGGAGAAACTAGGACGTTCTAGAGTCTCTAGCTCTTACCTACGTTGCTCTGCTCTCAAGAGAAAGAAAAAAAAAGGTGTCCCACTCTGTTCTTAGACGGCGCAGGGTCACAAAGATGTCTTTCTTCCTGATCCTGCCCTCACCTCGATTTCCTAGGCTGTTCAGGCTCCATTCCACCTCAGGCTGAGAAAAGGAGCAGACTTGCTGCTCCAGAGTTTATTAATTCACTTCATTTTATTTAAAATTTTACATCATTGGGGCCGGCCCCGTGGCTTAGCGGTTAAGTGTGCGCGCTCTGCTGCTGGCAGCCCGGGTTCGGATCCCGGGCGTGCACCGACGCACCACTTCTCCGGCCA